GGCTTGGCAGTCTTAGTATCTGATGGTTCACTGTATTTGCCAACACCAGCTTTGTTCTCAGCAGCAACTCGAAATTGATATTGAGATCCTTCAGACAGTTTGGTGATCGTGAAGGATGTATCAGTCATGTTATCAGTGAGAACCTTACTCCATCTTGTTGAAAATTCATCTTTCCTTTCAACTACGTAATTGGTGATTTTGCTTCCTCCATCAGATTCTGGTTCACTCCACCTAATGGTCATGAATGTGGCATCGACTTCCATTACTTTCGGTTTTCCAGGAGCTTCAGGAACAGCTGAGAAATGAATATTAAGAAAGATGAAACATGAAGCATAACTTTCCAGATGTAAAATTAGGAGTTATATACTATGGCAAGGCAATTCATATCTGTCTGAATCGTAAATAAGAGACATACTTTGAAAGTATGACAACATTTAGCTAATAACACAGTGCCACAGTCACTGAGCATATATATGTTACATGTGACCAAAATTAAACATGACATGAAGTGAGGACTGAGGTATTTTAGCACAGAAGTTACAATAAAAATGTAGGGAACTCACTGTATGGTGGTTTAGGTGTCACTGGTCCAACTGATTCACTTGGTTTACCAATGCCTGCTTTATTTTCAGCACACACTCTGAATTCATATGGTGAACCCTCCTTCAAGTCTTCAACAATGAAACTTATTCTGACACACTCATTTTGTTGACTCTTGTAAATCTACTACTGAATTGTTCTTTCTTTTCAATAACATATCCAGTCACTGGAGAACCACCATCTACATCAGGCGGTGTCCAGGTCAATTTTATGGATGTAGCATTGATGTCAGACACTTTTGGAGTACCTGGTGGACCTGGCACATCTGTGAAAGAATCAAATTTGTGTATATATGGTTCTTGAAAGCAAAAAGAAGACCAAGAGACAACAATCTAAGCTTCATGGAAGCATATAGCAAAATATAAAGTAGGATTGAATACTAGGTATGGAATATATAAGACACTTACCATATGGTGGTTTAGCAATTTTAGGATCTGATGGTTCACTATATTTGCCAACACCAGCTTTGTTCTCAGCAGCAA